CCTTCCACCCCTTTTGTTTATCCACCTACCCCTGCTGATGTGTATGCCTCTCAAGCACAAGGCTCTCACACGTTGCCTTCACAGAACCCTCGAACAAATGGTGGGACGCCCGATGCTGTGGTGGAGGAGGACCCTTTGCCGCAGGCGGTTCACTACAGATCTCAAAAAGTCACAAGGACCGCTCGCAAATGAGGCACTTTGACAGGCGAGGACGGCACGGTCAAACATACGCCAATTTATCTTATTACACTAGAACCTTTTGCTTTAGTCTTCTACTCTCTGCGGAGCAACCAAGCCACGTGATGTCGCCGTCGTATCACTTCTTACTTTATGGTGGGCCGCAAACACCAGAGCAGTCGTTCAGGCAATTGACCACCTGGCTGTTACTGCAAAGTCTGCAAACACCATCATGGTCTTGGTAGCAAGACTGCGAACTTGGAGGATCTGTGCGGCCATGCCGATGTGCGATCATGCATCAGCCCTTCTCTTATCTGCGGCAGCCTGGCGCAAGGATGACTATTGTCTTGCGTACTCACCGATAATGGTGCTCAGCGTTTGGCCACTTCGCTTCACTAAACCTCTTTCACCACGCTCTTGTAGCGCGCCTATGAGGATCAAGATGGCATTGGCCCGCTGCGTCGTGCGCGATCACATCGTGTTGGACGTACCTGTACGACCGTCTAAGCTCGTGCTCGCCGAGCGCGCCAGCCTCGCTGTGACGAGTATTGCTGGCACAGCCAGGATCAGAAAGGTGCGGAAGCGCAATTGCATCGTAGGGCAGTAGGGTTCAGAAGAGAAACGGTGGTGGAGGAGTGACAGCAAAGAACGTAGGGGATGTTGGTCGTGCAATTTCAGGACCATCACTCTTATAACACAGCCGGGTCGACTCGACGAGACTCAGCAGTACTGCTCGAGCACCCGGAAAAGCCTCACGGAAGCCGCATCCGAGGCAATGAGCACCTCAGCATTTCATTCAGCGACCCCGACTACCGACGCCGCCATCGCCAGCGGAAGGCTGGCAAGCTGAGCAGTGAGCAGTAGCACCGTCAGACTCAAAGGAACGGAGCGCTTCATGCCGAGGAAACAAAGAAGAACTTGGAGGGTGTGGAAGGAAGGCGCGAGAAATTCAGCCTGTCGCCTATGAGAGGAAGAGCAACACTCGTGGATAGCCCTTTATATACCTTTTTCAAGGGGCACCGACGTGAGAGCTACTTCTCGATATTGCAGGACTTGGGCCAAGGGCGGTGCGAGTCGCTCATGAAAGAATGATCAGGCGCGCTTCATTCCAATGTTGATGACACTTTCGCAGCCTAAAGTGCAAATGTTTATAAGCGGAACAGGAAAGCCGAACGCCATAGTGACTTAGAAGGGCGC